AGCGGTGTTAGCGCCGTGCCTCGGCAAAATTGAGGGTGCAAGGGCCCGTTTGTGCATTAGGTCCTATCATGAAATGGCGCCGGATCTGGGCGTCTCTTCCATAGCCCCTTGCATCCATCATCCCCACCAGATGGCTTGGTATCGGCAGGGTCCTCCCGCACTCAACAAACGGCATCCGCCACTGGTGGAGTACTCCACATGCTATGGAGAATTGAAATGAATAAGAACGCATTGCGGTTTTGCGTACCGGGCTAGGATGCATCGCCTGTTTGCTGAGCTGGAGCCATCTATTACCGTCACCGAGCATGCGCTCAAAAACGACGCCGAACTCGAACGGCTACGACGTGAGGCTATTCCCTCGTCGGATGAAAATACTACGACATGAGATGCGGCTCTACGAGTTGCAGAGCAACACGCACAAGTATATGCTGCCGTAGATCTTCTTGTGGTTGACTCATATGATGATGGAATAGTCGCCCAGGAACATGAGCAAATGAGGAGCATATTGGAAGAGGCCATTAGGGTAACGCGTAGTACGCTTCTCGAGAATCGACCGCGACTTCCCCGCATACCCTTTAGCAAGCGCAATCGGGCTGTCGTGAGGGATCTAAACCCAATGCTGGTGACCTATTTGGAAGCTAGCCGGGACCTTTGCGAGACGGACTCAATTCTTTTTGACGCCGCACTGGCAGTATGCCGTATTATTGGCGCCAAGCTCTCCGCGGCTGGACGTGCTACTACACAAAGTAGTGCCATCCCAGCCTGGAAAAAAGAATTGAGGACCGTATCGCAAAGGCACCTCATCAGCAGACTTTCAAGCTTCAAGTCGGGCAATAACAGGGCAAGAATTGTGCGCACCGCACGGATGGCGTTTGCTGGAACAAATATCAGTTTGTCCCAGCCGGATGTAATGCAAAAACTGACGGAGCGCATAGACGACCTGAAACAGAGAATCGCTGCTTGCGGCAACCAGAATCGTCTCTTCCAGAGTAATCAGAAGAGGCTCTATAAGTCACTGGAGCGATCAGTGGCACGTGGAACGGGCCCAGCACTAAATCAGGCCGACGCTGTCACATTATGGTGCGGCCTGTGGTCAGAGCTCGTAAACCACAGCAAAGGCCCTTGGACGGATGTTGTGGCGAGTCAGTGTGCGAATATTACGCCCATGGACCTCGTCATCATAACGCCGGTCGATATAGGTGAGGCGGTCCGTAGGGCTCCGAACTGGAAAAGTTTTCAGGTGGACTGTGTGCTCGTTTGTCACCCTTATTCTATAAAAAAAAAAAGTCCGGGGCTCGACGGGCTGCATCACTACTGGGGTATGTGGTGGGGAAGGGATTTCTGGTGTGTCACGCTGTGCTCGCCCGACAGTTCCAAGAGGCTCTCGACCAGAAGTCGCTCCCGAGCCTCTTCACTACTGGGGTCACTCATTTGGTTCCAAAAGACCAGGATACCACAGACCAATGCAAATGCCGCCCCAACACGTGTCTACCCACCATATAAAAGACATTAAAATCCATTTTGAGCGCGAGAATCACTTGTCACCTGAACATAAATTAGGTGATGTCGCGCGCTCAAAATGGATGTCGTGGGACCAAGGAACCACTGCTCATTGACGCGGTCATTGGCGAGGTGATTAAACGCAACCGTCGGAACTTCTCGCCGCCTGGATAGACTCCAAAAAGGCATTCGACTCAGTGCCTCATACATGGCTGAAGAGGGTCCTCGTGCTGTACAAGGTTGACTGTACAGTTAGAGACTTCCTCGGGCAGTGTATGGGGCAGTGGAGTACGATCCTTTGTCATCTAGGCGAGCGAATGACGGATCTCAGTACCTTACTGGAGGGTTGCGGGAGGGGATTTCAGCTTTAAAAAGGAGGTACAAAAGTGACCCACCTTTTCTATATCGATGATCTCAAGTTATTCGCTTCCAGTCACTCCCATCTTATGGAATAGCTAACTAACTCGTGAGCAATTCTATTAGAATAGAGCTGGGGATGGATAAGTGTGCGGTCGTCCAGGAGTAGGGTTGCTAACTCTGAGGGCATAGACCTACCTATGCCCATCAACAAAAGGACCCTTTCCGAGGCTGAAACATACCGATACCTGGGTATGTCACAGAACATAGGTATCGATGAGGCGGACATGAAACAGTTTGCGATCTGTTTTATGCACGTTTGACCAAAGTGCTTAACAGCCTTTTGTCGGGCGTAAATAAGACACAGGCATAATATAACGGTTGGATCACGCCTGTCCTCATGTATACCTTTGGCATACTCAGTTGGACTCGGACCGAACTGAATGCTCTGGATAGAAAAGTCCGTATTGTTATGACGTCCCATAGGATGCACCATCCGGGATCGTCGGTGAGGAGGCTGTACTTGCCGCGAAAGCAAGATGGGCGTGGCTTTTTAGGCGCGCTCACCTCGTTCGTCCTTCCTTCCCCCTCACTCGCAGCATGTCTGCCACTAAACACGTCTGGACAGCAGTGTTTAGTGTTTAGCCTTTAGCGTCGGACGCTAGCTTGTGTTGCAAAAATGGCAAAGTGGACCGAAGACATAACCTATAAATTTGTGCAATGTCTTTACAATAGTAAACACCCTAACTGCAAAATTAAACGAGCCCTAGCTGCGGAATTTAAGGAGCCCGAGATGCGGCTAACAACTGTATTTACTAAACAGCCACTAAACAGAATTGGACACTACTTACACTACACAGCTGCACTAATCACCCACAATTACTAATCACCTGCGCTCGCAATAATCAAAGTGAAAACAGGTCTTACCGCACACACCATGTATTCCCCACCGGCAATTGGACTGTAGCTCAATGCTGCTGTGTTTTGTATGGTGAGTGTAGAGAACCGCAGACCTTTTTCATGCATTCCATCTTGGCCCTCAGCGGTGATAACGCATTTGAATTTAGATTCTTAATTGAGGATAGATATATATATCTACGGACCATAGCATCTATTACCATCAGGTGGACTGTGTGCTCGTTTGTCAGTCTTATTCAATAAAAAAAAAATTATAAATTAACAGAAAAGATAGATGGGTGCCATCATCTGCTTGAGATAACATAATTAACAAGATGAAATCTAAACCAAACTACTGCAATACTTCATTGTTCACTACTGTTTTTGGGGTTCCATACCCGAAGGGTAACCAACGGGACTCTATTACTAAGCCTCTGCTATCCGTCCCTTCGTCTGTCTGTCAGCGAGCTGTATCTCATGATCCGTAATAGGTAGACAGTTGAAAATTTCCCAGAATGTGTATTATTGTAGCCGCTATAACAACAAATAATAAAATTAAAATAAATTAAAAATTAAAGGGAGGCCCCTCTACTTGAAACTTTTTTTACGATAGTAGACTCGCACTTAGCCGATTATTTTGTATTGCATCGGACCCAAAGAGAATATAAATCGGACCTTACATATCAACCATCAAAGCTAATTCTTATTTTAAAAAAAGGCTACAACGTATTTTTTCTCTAATTCAGTAGGCTAGTCGTATATCAGAGATTTATGTCATTTGAGCACTGAGCAAAATATAGTTTCCTAACAATCAGAAAGTCGACCAGATTGTATGGTTCAGTGGTAGTTGCGTATGCTGTAATTTTTAGTAGCGCTCTTAGAACCTTTTTTAGTTCTAAGAATTTTGTTTTCAAAGCCGCTGCCCACACAGTAGTTTACCATAATGAATACATAATACAGTATGTCAAAACTGAGATCTAAACTAAGATCATTTCTACCAAGTTTTAATGTTTAAAGATCCCCATAAACTTTCTTCATCTACTAGCTATCTGATCGATATGTTGTGTCAGGTCAGGATAGTAGCTGGTCTACCACGCCCAAGTATTTTTTTACAGAAGTAGCGGTGACAAACGATCACTCAGTCCATCTGGTGATAAGTGGATTTTGTGACTCATAGATATGTGGCGGCGCTGCCGTCGCGCCACAAGCGAAACACACCGAAGCCTAAATCGCGCTATCAAAGTTCCGAAGTAATCCAGTATATATATAATAGTTATATAGAAAAGGGAGCGTTGGCCACTCCTCGGGCTGAACACCTTGCCCGGTGGGAGATCTCCCCTTTTCCTTACGGGGGCAAAGATATATCTATCCTTCATTAAGAATCAAAATGCACTTATGCCTTGTCACCCCTAAGGACCAAGATGGAATTCCTCGTTACCAGTAAAGAGGGAATCCAGCTCTCGGGTTCGGTAATACTTACCATACGTAACTCATCAGCATTATACTGTTTTTACAGCATTACATTTACGCTGGTATTCTATACGAGCGTGGTACTACCCAGGTCGAACCAGCCTACGAGCTGCTAACAACTCAAAATCCTACAAGCGTGGCAACTATGGCAACAATCCCCTACACGAGACTGTCTATGGAAGAGGCCTATGTTCAGCAGTTGACTTTGATAAGCTGTAACGGAACAATACGTGGCATCGAATACCTACCTACAACACAAAAAGAAAAAGCAAGAAATACCAGTCGATGCTGAGAATTCAAGGGTAAGCGAGACACTCTGAGTTCGAAAATTACAAAAGCGTTCGCCGTAAAAATTACCGCAATAAACAAGCACAATAATTTAAGAAAACCCGTCTGCATTAAATGACTGAATTAATTAATGAATGACTTTACCCTCCCTTTTTGTATTTGAATTTTATATAGACAATGTCACTTCCACAATTAAGACGAATCAAACGATATCTCATCTATAATATAAAAATGAATCGCTGAATGTGTTGCTAAGCGCAAATCTCGAGAGCAGCTGAACCGATTTCGCTAATTCTTTTTTAATAATATTCCTTGAAGTACGAAGATGGTTCTTACGGAGAGAAAAATTAAAAAAATTGCCTGAAAAAGTCTAAAAACAACACTTTTCTATATTCCCATACAAAAGGTTCGTAATAATACTTAAAAGTCAATTTGGACTTTAATACTGTTACGAGCTTGGGGTTCGAGACAATTAAAAACTGCCGATTGAATTACCAAAATTGACACTTTAATTACACAATACTAATTACAATCTAAAATCACACTAATAATAAAACACAGTTCGCCGTTATTTCGCTTCCAAGTATTCTCTTGTATCGCCAATTCAATACTGCCTCGGTCGTGGTCTATACCGGCCTTATATAGGGCCTCAGATAGTTTCCAGAATCTTCTACTGTAGCGACATCTAGAATGTTCGAGTACATATCGGTCCCGAAATTTCTGGAAGGATCTTGACTCTCCTAGTTCTGCTACTCGACACTAGAGGGCGCTAGTGTAACTAGTGTTGCCATGTACAAGACATTAATAGTGGCGCGCAATACTTTCATTTACTCGACACTAGAGGGCACTAGTGTAACTAGTGTTGCCATGTACAAGACATTAATAGTGGCGCGCAACACTGCCCCCTCCTAAGACATGCTCGTCCCGAGCATTATTGGCCCCATAATAACGCGCCAGTCGATCCACATGGACAATCTTAGGAGTACCTCTGGCACCTTTCTGTATCCGGTAGGTTACATGATTGATCCTTGTCACAATCCGGTACGGTCCGTCCCATTTAGCTTGAAGCTTAGGAGATTTCCCTTTGCTGCGAACTGGATTGTCTAACCACACTAGTGAACCTTCATCAAACCCCTTGTTGTTCATTTTGCGGTCATACCGTGTTTTCATCTTCTCAGACGTTTGCTGGCCCGTCTGTCTGAAGTGCTCATAAATGTCATTCATTTTGTTCCGCAAGTCATTTGCATAATCGGTTATACTGCGTGGGGCATCAGGTGGTATTCCGGTGATCAGGTCTGCAGGCAGCCGTAATTCTCTCCCAAAGTTTGCGAAAGCTGGCGTCACTGACGTACTTTCGTGAACAGCGCTTCGATATGACAACAAAAACGGTTGTATGTGCCTGTCCCAGTCTCGTTGCCGTTTTTCCACAACTTTTGCCAGGTGCCTTTCCAATGTCTGATTAAATCGTTCTACCATTCCATCAGATTGTGGGTGGTAAGAAGTTGTTCGTGTTTTATGAGTACCCATAACTCTGCAAGTTTCCAGGAATATTTGAGACTCGAAATTCCTTCCTTGATCGCTGTGAATCTCTAAAGGTACTCCAAAACGACAGAAGACTTCATGAACTAGTTTATCTGTAATTGTTGAAGCTTCTTGATTTGGAATGGCGAAGACTTCTGGCCACTTAGTGAAGTAATCCATCACAACCATGAAATACTTGTTACCACTTTCACTTTCCGGAAACGGCCCCGCAACGTCAATGGCTATCCTCTCCCATGGTGCACCAACATTGTACAATTTCAATGCGCCTCTACTACGAATTTGAGGTCCCTTTACAGCCGCACAACTTGTACATTTGCGGCACCAGTCCTCGACATCGTCACGACAGTGGACCCAGTAAAACCTTTTTGACGGCTCCGTGGCGCAGTGGCTTAGCAATCAGTTGTTGCGCTGGGGGCTGCGGGTTCGAATCCCGCACGGAACAAGTATTTGTATGGCCTACAAATAATTGTTCCGAGTCTGGATGTTTGTCCTTGTGCAATTTATGTTTGTAAACTGCCTCCACTACACAGGAGAAAATCCTAGTGTGGGGGTAACGTTTTTTAAAATAAAAAAAAAATAAAAAAAAACCGTTCTCGGATTTTCAGTAGAGTTGGTTTAACTCCCAGGTGGCCACCTGAACAACCACTATGGTACAGCTGTAGAACATCCGGTACTTTAGCCTTAGGGACAACCATTTGCAAATGACAACTGTCTCCCCGACCATTTTCCAATTTACGGCACAGGACTCCATCCTGAATCAGCAAGCTGTCCCATTGGGCCCAATAGCTTTTCGTGGTCGAACTCATTGCTGAGACGTCGCTCCACTTGGGTTTAGGAGCACTGGCCCTCATCCATTCCAGAATCGGCTTAATATCCGAATCTTCCTGCTGTGCATGTTGTAGGCTGTCCTTCCACTCATTGCTGAGCTGGTCTGTCCTGAGCATCCTCACAGATATCACTTCCTTACCCTCTTGCCTAGTACAATGCTTGCAATCTTCAGGGCAAGGTCTTCTTGACAATGCATCTGCATTGCCATGAGATTTCCCGCTGCGATGTTCGATCACAAAGTCGTATTCCTGCAGTAGTTCAATCCATCTCGCAACTTGTCCTTCCGGATTTTTGAACTGCAATAGCCATTTCAGTGCAGCATGGTCAGTTCGTAAGTGGAATTTCCGCCCTAGAAGATATTTGCTAAAATGCTGCAAGGCCTTTACCACAGCAAGCAATTCCCGTCTTGTTATAGTTCCTTTCCGGCTTTGACAATGACTTGCTGAAGTACGCTATCACAATCTCTTGGTCACCATTCCGTTGAGACAACACACCGCCAAGTCCTATATCACTTGCGTCTGTGTCAACTATGAATTCCTTGCCCGCATCAGGGTACCCCAAAATAGGTGTTTTACACAGACGGTTCTTGAGCTCCTGGAATGCAATATCGCAACTTTCATCCCAGCAGAAATGTCGCTTCTCCTCGGTTAGCTTGTGCAGAGGTTTGGCTATATCTGCAAAGTTCTTCACAAATCGCCGATAATAAGAGCACAAACCCAAAAATGCTCTAACCTGTGTCTTGTCTTTTGGAACCGGCCACTCCTTGACAGCGGCAATTTTTTCTGGATCCGTGCGGATACCTTCTTCCGACACTACATACCCCAAAAAACTAACTTGCCGTTTGAATAGTGAGCACTTCTTTGGACTCAACTTGAGGTTGGCACTCTGGATCTTCATGAGCACGCGTTCCAGCTTTTGAAGGTGTTCCTCAAACGTACGGCCTACGATGATGATGTCATCCAAATAGACCAGACAGGCATCTCCAATTAGCCCGGTAAGTACAAGCTCCATCAATCTTACAAACGTTGCTGGAGCATTGCACAATCCAAACGGCATGACTTTAAATTGCCACAGACCCTTTCCTGTGGAGAATGCAGTTTTCTCCTTGTCCTTAGGGTCAATTTCAACCTGCCAGTAGCCACTTTTCAGGTCCAGCGTACTAAACCACTTTACGCCTGTGAGCATGTCCAGCGTGTCATCAATTCTAGGCAAGGGATAGCTGTCCTTCTTCGTAACGTCGTTCAGGCGGCGGTAGTCAACACAAAACCGCATGCTGTCGTCCTTCTTCTTTACCAGCACCACAGGTGAACACCATGGACTAGATGAAGGTTCAATAACACCATCCTTCACCATTCCCTCAATCATGGTTTCCACTTCCTTTTCACGTGCTACAGGCAATCTTCTTGGCCGCTGACGAATAGGCAATTCTTGTCCTGTGTTTATTTTGTGTTGAAGTGTTTATTTTGTGTAAGGCAGTCTTTCCTATGTCAGCTTCGTTTGACGAGAAAACATTGGCGTACTTGAGTAACAACTTCTTCGCCTTGACCATTTCATTCGGGGAGAGAACGCTGCGACAGTCTTCTAAAAGTGTGGTCACTCTCGTTTGTCCATCCTTGCTAGGGGTCCCGGTCGATAGATATTCGCACCGACGCAACCCATCCACTTCCTCACTAGTACCGACCAATGTGCCTTTTTCTATAATCTGTTCCTGATCATAAAGGTTCAACACACGTACTCCTGAGATGTCGGTGGTTCTGACCAAGGTTCGAGCCACTTTCCATGGAAGGTCATTGTCTACCCTTTCCACGAGTACACAACGATGAGCTTGCCCAGGACTCCGAGGAAGACTAACCGGCACAATCGTTTCCGATCTCGGCGGAAGAACAATCTTCTTAAGGCTGTACACATTCCCTGGTAACGCCCCTTCCATGAAAAGTTCCTCTTGTCCACATTTCAAAACACCTTGCTTAACGTCGATCTCACAACAATTCTTCCTCATAAAGTCTAGGCTCAGGATGCAGTCGTCCATTATATCAGCCATGATGACATTATGCAGGTAGATCATGTTGCCTAGCTTCAACTCCATCTCCTTCTCTCCACGGACGGGTATGCGCTGACCAGTGGCTGTCACCAAATTAATGCGTTCTCGGTTGTATGCGGAGTCCCCAAGGAACCGACTTATAAGTTGGGAACTGACAACCGTGCGAGAGGCTCCAGTGTCTATTGTCAGTTTACACGGCGTTCCGTTGACTTCGCCCTTGATGATCAGGCTGTTCCCATCACGGGTTTGTGAGATCGAAATCCTTGGGGCTTTTTTAACATCAGCCAGCACCCGCCAGTTTCCCTGCAGCTGCTGGGCGGTGCTGTTAGCCGCACTACCCTCTCGAGATCGATCACCTTCCCTTTCTATAGTTCGCTTAGGGCAGCTGGATCGAAGATGACCCCTTTCTCCACAGCCGTAGCACCTAGGGCTGTAGCTTTTATTGCGGTCCTGAACTGTAGCTGCTGCAACCTCCCTGACGCGGTGGGAACGATGATCCTGCCGCACGGCTTCCACCTCCAGTGCATGGGTCAAGGCGTCCTTAAGCGCCTCGTGGTGCCCGAGCCTCACAGCAGCTCTGACTTCAAGGTCGCGGATGCCATCGATGAATGTCTGCACCAGGTTCCCTACAATAAGCGCAAGTACAGACTGGTACGCTTTTCGAACCAGCTTCTCCACCTCAAGGGCCCACTGCTGCAGGTTTTCGTTACTGCGTTGCACGCGATCTTTGAGCTGCGCACGAAAGACGTGTTCCAGGTGAGCGTCGCCATATCTCGCCTCCAATGCCTCAAGGAGCTGCTCGTAAGTCACTTCCTTACCGAGAGCTTCCAGAACAGTTAAGGCCTGGTCGCGCAGGCCTAGGGTGAGAGCAGTCATGGCCTGACTTTTATTCCAGCCGTTCGCTTTCATGACAGCCTCGAACTGGATTTTGTAGACCGACCAGGAAGAAGTCCCATCGAACGGTGGCACTTTGAATCCACGTAGCGAAGGTGTTGTAGCTACCACGGGAGCTGTAACTCCATCCCCAATTTTGAGGTCGTTCAGCGTTTTCTTCACGTCAGCCATCACATTGTCAACCCGATTGTACACTTGGTCGATTCGGGTTTCAGCTTCCGACAGGCGGTTGTCATATTGAGCAACCTTATCCTTCACCTCACTTATTTCTTTCCCGAAGGTAGCGTGAAGGTCCTTCATGAGAAGTATCTGCTCTTCCTTATCGCGTTTGAGCTGCTCTTCCAACCGACGGCCCTGTTCCTCCTGTTGGCGGGCTTGTTCCTCCTGTCCGCGCTGCAGCTGCTCTTCCAACCGACAAGCCTGTTCCTCCTGTCGGCGGGCCTGTTCCTCCTGTCGGCGGGCCTGTTCCTCCTGTCGGCGAGCTTGTTCCTGCAGCATCATCATCAGAGTACCTAAGTCAGGTGCTGCAGATGCAGGAGCTGCTGACGGGCCGGATTCCGTGGTCGGCAACTGGCCTGCCGACGTCTGTGACGTTGCACCACCAAATCGTCTCTGGTCCGTCTCCTGTTGGCGTTGACTTCGGGTACGGATACCCTCGGTGTCGTCTTTAGGTAAAATCGGCATATTTGATCCCACTTCTGACACCAATTGTTACGAGCTTGGGGTTCGAGACAATTAAAAACTGCCGATTGAATTACCAAAATTGACACTTTAATTACACAACACTAATTACAATCTAAAATCACACTAATAATAAAACACAGTTCGCCGTTATTTCGCTTCGAAGTATTCTCTTGTATCGCCAATTCAATACTGCCTCGGTCGTGGTCTATACCGGCCTTATATAGTTTCCAGAATCTTCTACGGTAGCGACATCTAGAATGTTCGAGTACATATCGGTCCCGAAATTTCTGGAAGAATCTTGACTCTCCTAGTTCTGCTACTCGACACTAGAGGGCGCTAGTGTAACTAGTGTTGCCATGTACAAGACATTAATAGTGGCGCGCAATACTTTCATTTACTCGACACTAGAGGGCACTAGTGTAACTAGTGTTGCCATGTACAAGACATTAATAGTGGCGCGCAACAATACCATACCATAAAGTGTTAGTGGAGGGGTTCCGGGAAGGCAAAACAATTGAGTGACGTTAGTATCGTATAAATATTAATGTCAATATTTATACACACTGGCAGATAGCTGATGTTATAAGGAGTAACTTGGGCTGCTTTTATTTTAGGGTTCCGCGAAAAATCCATCGCGGGGAACAGCTAGTATTATGTTAAAATCCATGAAGGCGTTTATGCTACAGAAATATACTTTGTACCTATCTAAGAAGTGGTTTGGAGTTGGGGAGGTCGCATACAGATAAAATACGAATAACTTTATTTTTACAATTTTTTTTGCCGATCGATTCGTATTATTTTATTTTCCTCATCCATATTTATATTCTATGTGAGTTTATTTAAGTCGAATTATAAAGCTTGTAAGATTAGATGTAAGAATTGTATTTAAGTGATTCTTTGCATATAGAATGTCACTTAAATATAACTTAAACATTTCGTAAAAATCAGCCAAGTACAATTTCCTTCATTTTAATATTGAATGTTGGGTTAGTGGGTAAAATAATTGAATTCTAATTACGGCCCTGTCTTTTTGTTATTTTTATGAGGTTTACTTGACGATAGATGGCGGCCTGTTCACAAAATTATTATGAAAACTATAAAAATAATATTTTGGCGATTAAAATTTCTTTACCTGAATGTATTTGCTTCATGAGATAGACGCTCCGATGCTATGGATGGCATCACATTTCATTTGTAAGTAATTTTACACCTAATTTATTAAAATAGTTCTAGAAAAATCTCTTTCGGCTTTCAAATATAATTAAATATATTCGACACTAGATGGCAACACTTTGTTTCATGTGAACCAAAAATATAAAGGTACGTAGAGCTCAGTAATGATAAAATAATCATACGAAGGTGCTGAAATTTGTTTTGCATTCAGACAAAGAAATTTTAATCACCAAAATATTATTTTTATAGTTTATAACATTTTGTGAACAGGCCGCCATCCACCGTCAAGGTACCTAAACTACATTGCAACATCGATATGGAACGTTTCGAGTAGTTTTACTATTTATCGGTAGATGTAGATAGTGTAAAATGGGCGGGGCTTTGCATCCCCTCACCCCGCAAATTGTCACGCGTTGTTACATAGTGAAATTTAATTACAACATCTCTTTGTATTTGTTTCATGTTTTTTTTATTATAGAAGGCTAACAAGCCTACGGCTTACATGACATTCAACTTCTGCAACATCAGAATTGCAGTTGCAGAAATGCGTTGTCCGCCGTTAAGAAAGAAGTACCTACTTTTCCTTATGGTCCCTATGCCACGCCAGTTCGGTAAAACTTCTGGCGACAGTTCCACACTGTGGTCTTTCGTAGCAGTTCAGTAAATTCTAGGTACCTAAAGACAGCGGTTCACTACAACCGCTGTCTTTAGGTACCTAGAATTTTGAGATGATGATGATGGATGAAATTTAGAGTTGTCGTAGTATAGTCGGAATTATTCCGAAAAACCCCCGTAGTACAACTATGCACATATATACACAGGTATGTACATCAGGCTTATATAGGTATGTCAGACAGGAGTGAACCATCGCCCTGTATACGTAGCATAAGCTTCGACATAACAATCGTGGGTTCCGGTATATTTTTCGAAACGTTTTCGCCTTAAATACCTAAAAACTTATTTGTTTCGTTTATACAATTTTAAATCGTTCTTGTTGAATAAAGCGTTTGTAACCATTTTAAACAGTTTTAAAAATACCTTATAGGTTTAAACTTGTCATGACATGCGCCATTCATTTAACTTCCTGCGGAATAAACACATTACGTTCTAATTTCGTTTTTGTTCAGAACAAAATGTTATACAAGGACCCGTCTCAAACGTTTTAAAAACGTTATTTTTAATAACGTTTCCGAGCCCTGATATGAAGGCTCGCGTTTGGCAGGCGCAGCAGTTTGACTACGTCGTCGCTGAGAGCCTCAGATTTGATTCCTGAATAAAGTTATTGGTATGAACATTAATTCATTATTTAGAAAACTAAAACTATTTATAAAGGAATTAATATGGTCTACAAACCTACAAATGATAGTTCCGGATCTGGGTAGTTGTCTATGAATAATTTACTTATGTAAAATAATACCTTCCACAATACAGGGCAAATTCGCGATTTATGAAAACATTCATTATCATATTACTAAGTTTATGAAGGATATTAAATAAGAAAATTACATAAAATATATATTTAATCCAACTGTACAAAAACGAAATATTAAAATAAAAGTGCGTTAAACAGAAAATAACTGGTCTCTAAAGGCAGTTAACAATCTATTTCAAGCAAAGGCTCTTCAATATTTTTACAACAAGTGATCAAATGCACACCTCCATCAACAGAAGCGAAGCTGCGAAACAGATGAAATCGCAATTTATCTTATGGATACGTTTATGAAATTAAACTCTAGAAGAATGAAAAACTTACAGCTTTTACCTATGCAATAAGAAAAAATAAGTAAACAAACGACAAAAACTTGCTGCCATTGAAATTTACTAGTAGAATTAAAAAAGGCATTGCAGAGGCTCAGACTAACAAAGGAAGATAGACGGAGCGCTACGTACATTTCAAGTGGTGCCAAGCCATGCTCAACCGACACACGCCCCTATGCACGCAATTCTTTCTTTCTTTCTTTATCGTCCCGTTAATACACACACTGCTGGACGTACACGCGTATATGTGTACTTACAATCGTGTTCTTACAATCATTTGGCATGGACGTGGTTTAATTTATGTATCACGTAAAATGTACGGAGAGCATCATGTTTATTTCTTTGTTTGTCAGAGTGTAGATGTGACAAGTTGGTAGCCTTTTTGTTTCCTTTCCTTTTGGTTCCTTATTCTGTAAGAATCCGTCTGAGCACGAGAATCAACCGTTGCGTTATAGTTTGACCGAAATGTTTAGGGAGCAAATATTTTTATAAAATTGAGTTTTTATAGAATGAGAACTTATAAGTCACTGGTAACTGATCGCCACTCCTCATGAACATGTGTAACACCGAAGGAATCGTAGATGCGTTGCTGACAAAAAAAAATATGATCATGGAAATACAATGCACCTCTCTGTAACCCTCTTTGAATTTGGTTGCATGTGTCTGTGGGCAGCAAAATGAAGATTCTGGTGACTCGGACGCACTGGCGAAGTTGCCAATTAAATATGAACTGTCTGTGACTGTCAAATAATGGAAAGCCTTCACTTTACAAAATCAACTCAAAAATTATACATTAAAATATACATTCAATTAGCTAATATAGGGTTTGATTTCATATTGTATTATTCACAAACCACGCCCTTACTTTAGTTACATAATAGTTAATAATTTATAAGTAAATATGAGAAGTTTTTAAAAGCAGCTCAATGCATTAAAAATAATAAATGAGTATTTATGAACTAAATGTACAATGAATTTATTGGCAAGATAACAAAAATCCAAAAAACAAACACTATTCCGTCATCATATCCTGCAATGGGGGTTAATAACCTTCCGCTCACCAGATGTCTCTAAATGACACTGAGGTGAAGATTTTTGCTACATAATGTCATTTAATTCATGTTTTAGTTTTTAATAAAAGTTTATCAGTTTCTAGAGTATGTATGTTTTGTGTATTGCTCTTTAATTTTTCGCACATTTTCAACTCTTTTTTTTATTTTTTCTACTGTTATGAATATTTGTGGTTTGGTTTATTTATTTTTAATCTAATTAAAATAAAATATAATTAATAGTACAGAAAGAAACATTAACCTTTACATTTTTCGAACAACCTGATTTACCCACTATGAAATCTGTCAAATATTACACCACATTTTTAAGGGGCGCCGCCCTGGTGGCAGAAAATGTCGTGGATGTCCTCATTAGCGGCTAAAGTATCAACGACATTAGTTTATATATAAAGCTTTAAGTATAAACGTTACGAAATATACGTATATATATAAGTATACCAGCTTTAGATGATTTATGTCTACTTCATTTCGTAAGTTTCGCAGCACAGCTGGCTGAGCTAATAGTGCTTACAATGTCTTTTTTTATAGGATAATAGTGTGACAAACGAGCACACAGTCCACCTGATGGTAAGTGGTTGCTGTGGCCCATAGACATCTACATCTATCCTCGTTTGCGAATCAAAATGCAGATGCGTTGTCAGCCGTGAGGACTAAGATGGGATGCCTTTTTTCCAGTAAAAAGGGTCTCCGGTTCTCTACACTCGCCATACGAAACACAGCAGTGTTAAGCTGCTATTTTACGGTGTATACGAAGGATCATTTCTTATGGAGCCGCAATTGTGTCTACAAGTACTAAACATCAATTCAATAAATAAGGGTAGAGCTTTATGACGCCAACGTTCGTGGCAGTGGTGACCATAAAACGATCAAGTGATAGGGTCGCTAAAGACCCCCATAGTCGTATAAAATTAATTTCCAGTTTTTTAACTTTTTTATCTCTGTCTATTATGGCGAAGTCAATTTGTGGGTATTACTTTAATGTAGTTATTATTGCAAGCTTGATCTGCATACGAGTCATCTGTTTACTATTTGAGACACTGCGCATCGCTGTCTATTCCCTTAATCACTTTTGTACAAAAGTCAAGCACAGGTGGTATTTATTTAGTTTCTTTATATTTAGAACTAGCTGATACCCGCGACTTCATCCGCGTTGCTTGATATATTCACAAAGTTATCGTATGTGCGAAGGAAAAAACATCAAAAATAATCTTTTTTTTCGTTGCTCCGTTTGTAGCTAAAATATATAAATTATCTGGGTTAGTAACGCGAGAGTAAGCGACCTACAGTTGGCGGTGTGAAAAGCCCCGTATAAAAATCGTTGTATCTTAAAACTTGAATAACTTTATATTAAATGATTTTTTTTAAGTAAGGGCCATGTGTCTAAGAAATAAAACTTAGAAAACCTAATTGAAATCTATTCAGTAGATTTCCGTGATGCGCGCATAACTGCAAACTTCCATCATTTTATTTATATAGATTTTATTTCTAATGTATAAATACAGGTAGTTATTACCAACTAATGACAGATTTTCCGCATTTCTCCAAGAAATTTAGCATTGTCTTTAAATTAAAGCCTATTGATAGAGACACCACTTAATCTTAATTTACTGGTAGTCTGTAGACACAAGTATGTATAAGAAGAGATGGTACTCCTCTCCTTTACGGCCCATAGCACAAAGAATGAAAATAATAAATACAAAAGAAAAATTACAAATATGTATGTAAGTAATCATCATAGACAGAGAGACTGGACCGTGCGTTCCGTATTCAGTTGTGCAGTGAATACATACCGAAAAGTGCGAGAGACAAAGCGAATGTGCGGCCTGTAGTAGTCCCGTTCTAGAATTCTGATTGGTCCACGTCAAATCTTGCAGGACGGACAATCAGGCTTGCAGGAAAGAGACAGGTATTGGCCGCACAGACGCTTTGTCTCTTTCTAGAGATTGGTCACTTTTGTGAGGGTAACGCTCAGTCCATTCTCTATGTCTATGGTAATCATGAACCTTAAATTATTAAATTTCCATAACTACATTAGTAACTGTTAAGTTATGATTTTCAGTTCACTATACCAAAGGCACAATGTTTTAATAATAATAAAGCTAGCTTTACTAGAAGCTTTTACTAGAATTCCAAATTACCTATACAGTAAGACGAACAACCTTATTTTCCTTCCAAAAAATGATATATCTAAACAAGCTGATACATAATATTATATGCACACATATTACCAAAATATAAAGTAGAATATTAAAATCCAAGACAGCTAGCCACCATATCATCATCATTATCATCATTATAGCTTCACTATCACTGCTGAACATAGAAAGCACATTGAACCACCTACACCCATTGACTTATCGATGTCGTCACATCCATCTAGTGGGGGCCCTACACTTCGGTAACCGGTGCGAGGCACTCGATAGTTTCTTTACCAAAATAAACTTTTACAGGCTGGAGGATGAGAATTCTAATTGAATAGCAAGCTGCAGACGTAGTAGTGGAAACATCTTCTATATAAAATAAGTTCAGAAACGTAATATCGATGTATGTACGTGAATCATTACATCACTATGCAGAATTTTCACCGTGTATATCTTTTTTGGGACCCCCATTCATATGATAAAAGAATATATATACAGCTTAAAAACCATCACTTTAGAACTAGTTTTTGGATATCATAACCTTTACTATCAATAACACAATAAATACTCTTATTGTGTGCAATATTAGCTGCGTTAATGGTGCAGATAGACTGCGGACATTTGGCACATAAGATTTGTAAATTTAACGGGGATCCTAATAATTACTTTTTTCATAATTTATTGTAGCATTAACTACAAGGCATTCAACCAAAAATAATACACTCAACACTTATATAACATGTTAGCAAATTTCTGCAGATCATTTTGGTGCGTCACATTGTGATCATTTTATGAGATTTTGACGGTCACTTAAGCCAGCAGACAATCGATGACGATAGTAACACAAGTTCTTAAGGTGCCGAAATAAGGTTTATATCACCATCGTAGCACTTGTTTCATCGTTTTCAAATACTTCACATGTGCAGTTGATTAAAACATAAAATCGAACGACAAAAAGTTGTAAAAAAGAGACATAATTGTAGATTCGTACAGTAAATACCGTTTAATAAAGCTACAATATAGTAAAGTAACACTGCTAAATATGTATAAATTAATCCTTTAAAATTGTAAAAAAAAGCCTGTCATTTCTATGACAATTACATTTTAGAAAATGTCATGGTAATGTTTAAAACTCACGTCTTATTTGAAATCTGATTTTAATGTTTAAAACTCACGTCTTATTTGAAATCTGATTTTAATAAACCAGTTTTACTGACTAATTTGTAAATGAGTCAAGCAAACCCTTTAATGAACAGAAATATATATAATTGTAGCTACAATTCACCAATTTTTACCATCTCAATTTTTTTAATTTTCAATTTTTATCATTACAAATTGTTACTCTTAATGAGATAGGATTCAAGTCCTTTTTTTTTATAGATTGCAGATGAAACGCCAGACTAAATATTTTTATCATTAATGTAGATAAATGAGCTTGATTTGACAGCAACATAATATGTATATATTTATATCAGTATTCGTTGTCATGCTAACATAAATTCAATATAAAAAAAGTGTAAAACAAAGTTTTAAAAAGAAATTTGTCAAAATCTACTTCTTTATTACGCGGTTGATTATCTATGCTTCTGAAAAAAAAAACATTTTAAAATCCTGAACTGCTATAGCCGCTTAAGTTTCGAATTGTGAATGATGGTCTTTCGACTTTTAAAATATCCTATCATTAATAATTACAACATATATATTTTTACAAAAGAAAAATAAGTGAATTATTTCTATTTTTTCTTTAATTTTGTATGTTAATTTTGCTTTTACTTCTAACAAATTTCACATCATGTGTATGAATATAATGTAATTATGTTATCAAACTTTATTAAAAATAGTTCTTTTCCAACTAAAGCAATCTTTGCCAGTACTACTATTAAAATATAAAAGCACTTAAGGGATGTTTCTTTATCAATCTCTATTGCCATATTGTCATAATCAAATGACTTTTATCATTTAAATCGTGGTTGACAAATGTAAATATTTACATTTACAAACTCTATACCATAAGTATCACATTTATAATAATGTACATAATTACAATAATCGATTGTATTTACAGTTTCATTCACATGAAAATATCGATTAGACGACTTGTTCAGAATCGTCCCTCGTAGCTGAAACTGTTTCGGCTCTACCCGGCACATTCGAGCCTCTGTACAATTTTAAATTCGATTCTGTGTAATCGAGAATTTTTCGGCTGGAATGTCTAATATAAAGCATTTGCTTATGGTATATTTTCAGCGCGCCTTTTATCGTAATATAAGTTAGACCTCCAAGAATTGTCCTATGGAGATTATTTTTGATAGAACGGAAGAATATTTTGCCTATTATGGTGGAAATAGTTGGTAAAAGTAGCGCAGAACAGAAAATTCTAGTAGGTGACATGTGTGCGTTAGAATTCGAATTGGCATTGGTTGTTTGGTCCGGTACTATAGAGCTTCTGTCTCCTTCCACACTGAAAATAATAAAATAAAAAAAAACATTAAAGTTGAAGTGTTCGAGCAGTTATGTTTCAGATGGTTAGTGCTCGCTGTAAATTTTACAGTACGCAATACGCAAGCAACCCGGGTTCTTTCCCCACCGGCACCAATGAAATTGTTAATTGCAATTTTAAGTGTTGATTTACCACGTGCTCAGCGGCGAAGGAAAAACATCGTGAGGAAACCTGCATGTCTGAGAAATAGGAAAAATACATATTTCGAAGACATGTGAAGTTAGCCAACACGCATGGGGCAGTGCGGACACTTCCTTGCCCTAAAAGTGGGACATATAGGTAATTGGTAAGTGTGAAGCCTACCAATACAAACTCCTAGGCATAAAAGGATGTATGCCTAGGAGTATATGTTAACATAGAAAACTATATTTATATGCTAATTTTTACATTGTCATAGCACCTCTATTTAAGGTATTACATCAAATGTCTCAAAATCACCAAACAACACAACACATCAATTTTAATTTCTAGAATATGATATATACGTCGACGTCATGCTGAACCTATATTATGGCTGCAGGAAAAATGGATCGGCACGAAAGAATACCAGTTTAAAATAGCAGTTTAATGCTGAAACGAAGCACTCCAAAAGCTGAACGCACATTTGTTCGCACCGTACGCATCGTACGCGCCGAGTTTTACTGATGGCCTCGCACACTTGCACGTGCGCATCGTCCGCGCCGTACGCAAATCTTTTGTATTACCAACAACTTTTGTAATTTTATCGAAGCATTGGTGTGAAACGGTACAGTGAAATTGATCGCTCGAAATCACTATGGAATGAAATATAGTAATAGTGCAGGCTATTGCCAAAGGGATAAGAAAATAAAATTCAAAGAAAAAGAAGATTATGAAATCATTATATTAATTAAAAAGGCAATTGTATGGAGAATATTATACTTTATTTTTAAGAAATTTAAAGGCTTACCTTTTAGATGGTGATAAACGATTTTTTAGATATTTGCATTTAACATACAAGAAATTTCAAGAATTGCTATATATTATACTAAAGCCTTATTTTTCTATGGAAAACTCAAGATTTAGAAGGCCGATTGAACCAGTAGAAACCAACAGAACCAGAGAAAATACTTTTTGTATGTTTGAGGTAAATATTTTATTGATAATTAAGTAATCAGGTATAATTGGGTTTTTGAATTCAAATAAACTAATTTTTTAGTTCAGTATTTAAATAATTTATCACTAAATAAAAAAAAATCAATATAGGTATAATCAATTACGAATTAATTAAAAGTTATAATAATACAAAAAATATCAAGCAAGTCGAAACCACCAGTTATAGTGGAAAATCCACTAAGTTGGCAACATTAGACAATACTCAGTATCGCGCCGAGTTATGTGACGTCATCAGCATGCGTCCTTCAATATTCCGATACCTACCGCATTTTATAAAATTCGGCGCGTACGGTGCGGGTGTAATGTGCGAGGTTTCATATGATTTCATACAACGAATTCTAAAATTTGGCGCATACGGTGCGGACAAATGTGCGTTCAGCTAAAGTACTGTCAAAAGACAACACATCTGCATTTTGATTCTTATTCGAGTATAAATGTAGATATCTATGGGCCATAGCATCCACTCACCATCAGGTGGACTGTGTGCCCGTTTGTCACCCTTTTTTATATAAAAGAACAATACATAAAACATTAAGATTTCTAAGATATCTTGAGGTGCTACTGCGGTGCGGTGGAAGTATTATCAAGATACGATTGGAGGTCAAAAAGTTCGCGGAATGGCGGGGTCGAGTTTACTCATCCAGGTAGCGCCAGTTCAGTGACTCATTGTTAGTATATATACCAGATTTCAACTTAATCGGGTCATTAGCTTTTGAGTTATCAACGAGTAAACAAGTCAATCGGGAAGAAACTAGCCACTATGGAGAAAATTGAATATCACGCCGTCAGTAAGTTTCTCACCAAACAAGGAAAGACACCTCAAACCATTTTTCAAGAGATGTCAGCATGTTTATGGGGACTCCGCTCCTGGGAAAACTATGATTTATAAATGGCATGCCCTTTTCAAACAAGGGCCCTCCCTACTCCATTGAAGACGACCCCCGACCTGGACGGCCGATTGATGCTACCACGCCAAAAAAATTGAAAATCTTGTATCGGAAGATGCCCGGCTAAAGAAAACACAGCTTGCGGCATTAGTTGGAGTATCAAACATTTTAAGCATTCTACATCAACACCTTGACATGACTAAAGTCTGTGCAAGATAGGTTCCAAGAATGCTTTCTGCGCATCAAAAATACGAGTGCGTCGAAAGTTGTCGCGAGTTTTTGAACCGCTGTGGAGAGCAAAGGAAGTAAGTTTATGGCCCGAATTGTAACTGGTGATGAAACTTGGGTTCACCATTCCCGAGTCAAAGCAAGAGTCGATGCAGTGGCATAAAAAAGGCACACCCCCTCCTAAGAAGTATATAGTGTCTCAATCGGCCGGAAAGATGATGGCGACGATCTTTTGGGATACAGAAGGTATCCTTTTGATTGATTATGAGGAACGTGGTGTTTCCATAACGGGAGAATACTACGCTTCTTTACTAGATCAATTAAAAGACGTTATTAAAGAAAAAGGACGAGGAAAGCTTACAAGAGGCGTGCTCTTTTTGCACGACAATGCGCCCGTGCACACAAGCTATGTTGCGACGGGCCATTCACCGGTGTGGTTCTGTACAACTGCGCCACCCACCCTACAGCCCAGACCTGGTCCCAAGCGACTATATATAGCGATATTTGTTTCCAAAAGAAGAAAGAACTACGTGGGAAAAAATTTGGCGACGATGATGAAGGGAAGTCGGCAATTTCTGCCTATTTTGACGCCCAAGACAGATCTTTTTTTAGACGGTATTAAAAAATTATTTGACAGATCTAATAAATGTATTAGGATTAAGGGAGAATATATTTATTTATTTATTTATTTATTCTTTATTGCATTCCTTAACCTAAAAGAATACAAAGGGCGGACTTAATGCCTTGTGGCATTCTCTACCAGTCAACCCATGGAGTGGTGAGAATTTGAAGTAGATGTAGCAATATAGAATAACAAGAAAATAGAAATGTATAATTAATTACATTATATATACATTTTACTATTATATACAATAAATAAACTATAAAAATATATCCTATTTATACATGTATACAAATATATACGTACATACATAAGCATACATATATTCATACCAACATACATATACAAATAATACATATAAATAACTATAAATATATATGTCTAAAATATAAATGACATGGATGATTCATCTAAGAAGCGTTGTCTTTAACAGATAGATGATTACGCACCAACTTTTTAAAAGCAAACTTATTGGGAGCTTTTCTGATGTCGTCAGGCAAGGAGTTCCAAAGGCGTGCAGCCTGAACTGTAAAGGAGTTACCATAGAACTCGGTGAAGTCAACTGGAATACATATTTTGTTGTTAGAAGACGAACGTAGAACCCTATCATGAGATGAGGAGAGATAGTGAAATTTGCTCTTAAGATAAGAAGGCGAAAATGGGTCATTTAATATGGAAAAAAGAACAAGTAATATTCTGGAAATACGCCTCTGCCGGATTGTAAGCCAATTAAGCTTAGATCTATATTGCGAAATATGGTCATACTTACGAAGCTCGAAAATAAATCTTATACAGTTATTGAGAAGGCGTTCCAGCTTGTTCAGAAGATCCTGGGACAGATCCGGGTAACACACATCTGCATAATCAATTATGGGTAATATGAGTGATTGGACAAGCATGATCTTAGACTTTGTGGGGAGAAAATGTTTTAAACGATACAGAGTACGTAACGTAGCAGTGACTTTACGACTGACTTCAGTAACCTGAGTTCTCCAATTCAGCGTGTTGTCAATGTGTAGGCCAAGATTTTTTACAGACTTACTGAACGGTATTGTAATCCCATTATAGTAGATAGAGGGTATGTCTGCAAGATTAATCTTGGCTAGCATCCTTGAGCTACCCACCAGTATAGCTTGGCATTTTGAAGGATTGACCAATACTCCATAACGAGTAGACCAATCCTTGATAGCTTGTAAGTTGTTATTTAATTTTTTAATCCCATTATGGATATCCCCAATTTCAGCTTGCACGTATAGCTGAAGGTCATCGGCATACAGATGGTACGAGCAATCGAAGATGGAGGTAATAAAGTTTATAAAAATAGAAAAAATTATAGGAGAAAGAATTCGCCTTGCGGTACACCAGCATCCACATCAGCCCAAACTGAATATATTGAAAAGGAAAAATAGTTTAATGTTTCATTTCATCATCCTTCCCTGTCATTCCGCAAACTATTTGACCTCCCCTCGTATATCATTCGACAGAGTATCATCACCATATAAATCGTTACCATAACACGCCATCCGTCGATTAATTATAAAAAAGATTAGAATTGAATCAGTGAAATGGAATATTTCCTTATTAAATAAATAGCAATGACATTAAAACGATGGGCCCCGAAGAGGCAATCTATGGGGACACTTATATTCAGCACTGGACTTTGATAGAATGTAAGGATGCCATTAACGATAGCGTAGCATCAGGCCACCGAGACGGAATTGATTCAACCGACGCTTTGTTTTTTTGTTTCTGCGGCTAAATAATAAAAATCAGATTATGTAACTGTGCAATACTCGTCGATAACGTTTTTGTTCATTTTTTTAAATAAATATCATTATGGAAAATAAATTTATGTTTTTTTTAATCATCATTTTATACAATTTAAACGTAATTAAAAAGCGAAAATATGATAGATTGCAGTTACCAAATAGAAGTACATTAAGTCCTAATGTAATGTAATGTTTACAATGTTTCTACTGATTTGCTAGTATTTTTATAAATTTAAATTTGCCTAATACAAATTTGCCCTGTAAAATAAATCACAACGAAAGTTCTGACTAATTATCTGTTGTGATGCCGGATGATCGACGAACGAACGATGGATGGCTCGACAGCGCAATAGTCAAACGTTTGGCTGTGCCGCTGGGGGCCACTGGTCCGAATCTCACACGAAACAACTATTTATATACCTTTACCGTTACAGTCTATTAAAGTCCACTGCTGAACATAGGCCTCCCCCATAGATTGCCTCTTAGGGGGATATTTTCCATAGCAGCCACGATTGGCAAGCGGGTTGGCAACCGCATTTTTTTTAGTCGTTATTAGAAAGACGCTGCTGCCCATCACCTGATTTGTTTTACGACACCCACGGGATTATAGTATGGGGTAGTGGATATTTATATATAGAACTTCCAGTAACAAAACTTACTTGCCGAATGGCAATATATAAGCCAGAGCCGGTATCTTTGCGCAATACTTCCTCAGGAACAGGAGAACCGAGTCTTCCCAATTATACATCTTGGCACTGATCAACGTGACAGGAATTGTAGGCAACAATACCAGAAGAACCAGCGGGTCCGCTGATTCCATCATCTCTAATCCTTCTCTGTGTCCTACCACCTGGAAATAAGAGAAACCAATGGATAATTATAACATACTAATTGTCACTGAACGAAATATATGCCCCATTTCTTTTGCAAGCACTATGTAGTAGACGTGTATAGTTTTGAGTTTTGACACAATTAATTCAGATGCGGACGCGTTCATATTAATAGCGATTTACAAGAGAACACCGGACGAAGACAGCGGTAATCGAAAGTAATATGTACGACAACTAATTAAGTTAGATAAATTTTTTACAGGATAAGGGTAACAAACGATCACACAGTCCACCTGTTGGTAAGTGGTTGCTGTGGCCCATAGACATCTACATCTATCCTCGATTACGAATCAAAAGGCAGATGCGTTGCTACCCGTGAGGACTAAGATGGATGTCTCCAGTAAACAGGTTCTCTACACTTACCATACGAAACATAGCAGCGTTAAGGTGCTAGTATTCTGTGAGAGCGTGGATCTTCTTGATAACAACTCAAAATAATTTAAAAAAAACCGAGGTAGCTAACCCGCCCGCAAAGTGTGGCAACTGACTCGGGGAGCCTATGTGCATCAGTGGACTGCCCATAGGCTGTAATGGATAAGATAATTATATCGTGCCATAAATAATATCACCTTAATTTATTTTATTTTTTTGTTATCCGAGATTTTTTTCTTTCCTATAAATTAAGTAAAAACATGCGAGGCATACATACATAATGCGGTAATCATTAAAACAAATAAAAGCAACCGTTTAGTAATAAATAAAATTATTATATAGGAATAATTATTACATAGGAAAAATTAAAATTCACACAAAAAAAATCTAATTTAATGTAATGGATTGCGGCAGACTGTTTTTTTTTTATATGCTAATGCTTCACTGATTATAGTTGCAAATTTACCTAATTACGAATTACGAGTAGATCTGACCTGAGAATTATTTTTAGAATTGAAATATTATATACAATTTAGATCGAAACCTTTTCAATAATTTGAAATAGACTTGTATCTTTTCATATTGCATACATTCCTAGTCCTTGGTAGGTACTTATATATTTAGAATTTAACTTTTACTACGTAAGTACTATTCTTTATTTTATGGTATTTCTAGTATTGAATATTGATACATAATAGAATTTTCTTATTCTGATAATGATCTCAAGAATTTAACAAAAAATGGAATTTGGAAAAAGTTGCTAAGTATTTTTATATTAAAAATTATGAAAAATATCTATTATGCCTAACAGTTAAATGTATATAGACAACATTTAATTTTTTAACAGTGAGGGATAGACCAAAACAAATATGTGCATATATAAAATCAAGTTAGTCCAGTGACCGCATTTCTTCAAAAATACCGTTTGAAACCAAGTGGTCGAAACGAGGTCGTGTCAAAAGGATTTTTGGATAAAAGATTTCCGGCTCACTAAATGTACAGTTGCTTTTCACATGTGCTAAATGTTTCGCCATTACTTCCACGATTTTACCACAGTGGCACAGTTGTTCAAATATTTGATCAAAAATACAAATCAAACAGCTTTCATTTTATTACATTCACTGTTTTTCTTGGCATCACTCTCGACGCAGTGTGTTCAATGTCCACATATGTCTAAATTAGCAAACAGACTAAGCTCTGCGGCTTATGCGGTAGAAAGATTAGAGGTTTCACTAGTGTCGAGACAACTAGATTAATTTATTTCAGTTATTTCCATAGCATAATGTCTTTTGGGATTTTGCTATAGGTAAATGCGGCTGATATGAAACTATTTTTTTTTTTGCAGAAGAGGGCTGTTAGACCTATTCACAACCTAAAACCTAGTCTCTTAGAGAAAAATTTAAAGAAATAATATATTAACTTTAGCCTCTCAGTACATTTAAGAAAATATAATGTAGGTTCACAAAAACAAAAATAGTTTTAGTAAAAAAAGTGATATACACTGTATACACTAGGAACAAACACAAGGTAGTGATATCAGTTTCTCGACAGAGTCAGTAATTCATTACTGGGGCAATTTATACGCTATTACAACAGCCTCAGAAAATATACATTTTTTTTTTATAGGATCGGGTGACAATCGGGCACACAGTCCACCTGATTGTAAGTGGTTACTGTGACCCATAGACATCTACATCTATCCTCAATAAAGACTCAAGATGCAGATGCGTTGTCACCCGTGAGGACTATGATGGAATGCCTCTTTGCCAGTAAAAAGGTTCTCCGGTTCTCTACACTCACCATACGAAACACAGCAGCGTTAAGCTGCTATTTTACGCTGGTTTTCTGTGAGAGCGTGGTCCTTCCACGTTCGAGCCGACCCATACGTGCTAGAACCACAATATAGCTGCAACATGGCTCTACTATGGTCTTTCCGTTACCAAGTTTAAATATTTTACTAAACAAAAACTGTATAAAAAATGTCATTACAATATAAATGAATACGTGGTTGATAATAACCCCTGGGAATGAGGTGATCGCTTGCAAGCTGTTTTTAAAATAAATTTTCGAAATATTTTGTACAACCTCTCATATTGTATACCAAATTTACTTTCAAAAAAAGTCCCGCTGGGTTTCTTACTGGTCTCCCTGGACATAGGTTTTTTTTCCGAATCGGAAAAATGACTTTCAATACGAATTACATGTAATCTTGAATAAAATATTCGATTCTATAGAGAAATCAAAGAATAAAATGGTCTTTATTTAGTCAGATAAGAAAGATCTGTCATCACGTGCCAAGAACGCTAACTGCATTTTCTTACAGAATGGCTTTACGAATGGTTGAAAAGAACTAGCCTTCTTATCACCAGCAGCGACTTCACCGCACGTGGACCCCACCCCAATATCTATTATATGTATGTATATTAACTTAATAAACTCAGAAAAAAAACAAATACCGAACTTAATATGTAAAAATGAAAGTTTGTTTGTCCTGCATGCGTTACTATACCATTCATCTGTCACAGTGAAACTGGTGAGTTGTAGTGTGCACGCCAGTGAATAGTCCTGTTTTCTGATAAAGAAAAGATATACCGGCCACAACTAGTGGTTTATTCAAATTCCTTCTATCGTATCTTATGACACCCACAGCACAGTTAGCATTGTACCCACAGGATGATATATGGTTGTGGATACTTTTATGGTGCCGCAATACGGCACAGACATTTTTTTTTATATTTAAAAAAATAAATTATAAGTATAAATGACTTTCAATCATACTTGCAATATAGAAATATGTTTGAAGACATGAAAAGTGTAAATAACAATATGATTGAAATTGTAACAAACTTGAGACTTGCAAAGGTTCAAGTTGGCGTTGCTCAGGGTTCTGTTTTGGGCCCTTTCTTATTTATTATTTTTATAAATGATTTGCATCAATCTGTCAGTAATTCTGTAAAGGCAAATACACAAAACTGTTTGCTGATGCAGTTGTTTCTGCTATTGAAAATGATAGTCTAGAAACAAATATAAACATGGTTGTAGAAGCTATGAGAAATTGATTTGTAGCTAATGGCTTAGTTGTCAACACTGGTAAAACAAAAATCATGATAGAAACAAAAGCGCTTGCACAAGAAGTTGCAAAATTTTTGGAAGTTAAAATTGACAGTCGTTTGCTGTAGCTATATTAGTAGTAGGTATAGTTGTAGCACGAATGGGTCGATTCGACCGGGGAAGAACGACGAACTCACAGAATACCAGCGTAAAATATCAGCTTAATGTTGCTGTGTTTCTTTTGGTGAGTGTAGAGAACCGGAGACGCTTTTTTCTGAAAAAGAGGCATTCCATCTTAGTCCTCACGGCTGACAACGAATCTGCATTTTATTCGCTAACGAAGATAGATGTAGATGTCTATGGGCCATAGCAATCACCATCAGGTAGTCTGTGTGCTCGCTTGTCACCCTTATCCTATAAAAAAAGACATTGAAAGCACTATTAGCTCAGCTAGCTGTGCTGCGAAACTTACGAAATGAAGTAGACATAAATCATCTAAAGCTGGTATGCGTTGGTTGTATCTAGGCTTCGTTATAGCATACGGCTGTACCATGTCTGACTGTACCACGTCTTACTCACAAATTTTTCAAAATGTATAAGGAATTACGAGTTTACGGACGAAAGAAATATTAGGGAAACAAAGACAACACTTTAAAAATAAAGTTATTCCTCATTTAGTTATATCGAACCACTGCACACAATATCAGTGGGTTCATTTATTTACTCTGTACAACAGTGGTTTCAAAAGTTTTTTTTTTGTGGGAAATATGCTTTTATAGTGTTGATGACTTTGTTAATGATAGTATTCGATCATTTTAATATTATTGTAACACTAGCTGTGCCCGCGGCGTAGCTCGCGTATACAGGTTTTATATAAAGAATTTGTCGTTTAGGTAAGAGAATATTAAACGATTTATTTCATTACTGTATCAATAAGTGGTAACTAAATAAATCATTATCATCAAAGTTCTAAGTCGTTTATTATAGAGCTTCTGTGTAAACGACGTTAGAAGTAGGCTTAGCCGGGGTGTACACAAAAAGGTTACGGGGGCTACTAACGCCGGAAAAAGTAACATAAAGTTGGCCATGTGCAAAACAGTCAGTACTGAGGTACACTCCTACAACGCGTAAAGTTTGACCTTGCGCTTTATTTACGGTCATCGCATAACACACGCTCACTGTAACTGGGAACTGAACGCGCTTAAAACTGAAAGGAAAGTTACTTCTTAATAGAGGGTTTTTAGGCAGTGCGGCCAGATAAAAAAAAACTCATTCAGCTCTAGGACAACACAAAAAGCGTTAGATTTCATGAAAACAGCGCTTTAAAAAAGCCCTAGATTTCGCGCTAAATTAACTACAAACAAAGTTTGTGTTTTTTTATATAATCATAATAAAGAAAACAACATTAAGTTTTTTTTCTGGCAATATTTTTTTGATGTATCAATACTTCGCAGGACATCGACTTATAATTATGGCAATTGCTGTCAACAGTAGTTAGTACTGTATGAACAATAAAAATGTCATTAATTGTTTTAAA